ATGGTCACTTGTGGTATTTTTGTCCTATTCCAATGTATGTCTTACTGAGTCCAGAGAATAGGCAACATGGAGACTCAAAATATATAGCTTATCTTCCAAAATAGGACTAATTTTATCCCCTGAATTCTTTACCGATAGATATTTTTAAAGCATCCATTCTGGGCTTCCAGCCTCTTTCAGATACCCAGTTGTAGCAAAGCACTGTAAACACATAAAAGTTGCTGTCTCTGTTTTATTTTTTTTTTCATTTGGGTAGTCGGTTTTTTATGTTTTTGGTGCAAGTCTAGAAAATAGTTTTGTCTTATATATACACATACACGTGCGCTTATATACATTTATTGAGAAAAAAATGACCTATTACAGAAAACTTAGAAAAAAAAGCAACAAAAGAAATTAATCTCCTATAAAATCAAATATTTAACCACCATTAACATTCGATCCGGGACTTTCCAAAGTTTCAATGTCTGCATATCTGTTTTTAATGACCCAAGTCATAATCTGTATGGTACACTTACTTTCTCTTCATTCGGTAATATATCCTGAACTTTTTTTTTGTCATGCTAATAACATGACAATCTACATGTAAGGCCTGATTTTTGGGGAACACCCTGATAGCCATCATCTAAATGTGCTACCTGATTTTTGGGGAACACCCTGATAGCCATCATCTAAATGTGCTAAAATTTACCTAAATTTAAGTAAATTCAGGTACATGTGCTAAACTAACCTGTGCTTACTCATTTGTTCCCATTTTTTTCTAATGATTTTCATATGACATCTGTTGTTGATACCGAAAATCCCCCCCCAAAAAAGAGTATGAATTAATTCCTGGACATGAATATCTATGTGAAGGCTAACTTTAGGATCATTTTCACTCAAATTATTATAGAATTTTAACCTCCCCCCCCCCGAAGAGAACTGAGTGGTGCCCTAGGGTGGCCTCTGACAGGCCAGCTCTCTCCCGATGGACGGTCAGCCTCTGCTTACATACGTCCAGAAGAAGGCACTACTCGGCTCCTCTTTCTCTGTTCTGACGTTGTGTGTTCCTATGGACATAAGGAACCAGATTCTGACAAATAGATTTTGAAAGTTGCTTCCGAAACCTTGAGACGCCTATATACTTCAAGATCAGTGTGATTTGAGAATCTGGAAGGAAGTGAGAGGCAGGGTAGCAGGCAAGATAGCACAGAGTGCTGGCTTAGCTAATAGAGGCCAAGTAATTATTACAGACAGGCAGAGAGTGTTCCCTGATTTGCGAGCTACAGTTATTCTAATTGATTTCTGCATACTTGTGGATAGGGATCTGCCCTCTTCCATTTATTTTTCTCTTGACAAGTAAGATGTGAAATGTTGTTCCATGCCTTTCTAATTTAAACGTTGCACATGTTGAGAACTGATCTTGCCAGCCATTTTTAAGCCTGGCCAAAAACATAACACATTGTTGTTATTAGCCTTCATCATCTGGTTAGAGCCAACATTTTGTTTGGAACTATACCGGCTTATAAATCTCCTTTATAGGCATAACCTATTTCTGCCATCAAGCAGACTCAGTGAGGAGGCAACCAAGTGTCCTTGGTGAGTTGCCTTGGTTGGCCTCCCGCGGCTGATTAGAGCAAGGATGCTCATTTTGAGAGCCTTCTTAGGAAGCGAGATTCATGCTCTTGAGGATCTTATGATTCAGCGGAGGGGAAAGACGCAGATAACAGCTAATATAAGGCAACGTGTGAAAAGTACATGTACACAAAGAGCAGAGAGGCAGCTTAGAGGAAAAACAGAGCATTTCCTCATGGCCTGATTTTAGGGCTGTGGACGATGGTGTCCTTGAAGCCATATGCAGCACATTCAGCTTGCAAGCTGAGTAAACCATCTGTCTCACGCACGTGTGTTGTACTATTTTCCAAGTATATTTAGATGCCCTGGTGGCCAGCGAGGCTTTTAAATGAATTCCTGTTTTATTACATTGATTGTAGCTTTTTGCCATATTGTGTATTTTCAATCAGTGCTACACTTATGTCTCTAACATTTTTCTTTTCTTTTTTTTTTTTAAAGATTTTTATTTGTTTATTCATGAGAGACAGAGAGAGAAACATAGACATAGAGAGAGGGAGAAGCAAGCCCCCTGCGGGGAGCCTGATGCAGGATTCGATCCCAGGACCCTGGGATCACACCCTGAGTTGAAGGGAGACGTTCAACCACCGAGCCACCCAGGCGCCCCATCTAACATTTTTTCATGTTAAAAATTGTTTTAGTTACTTGAAGATTGGAAACTTCCATTGTCTGCAGGAGTGCTGTCCTATAGAACTTTCTGTGATAACAGAAATGCCTCTGCATTGTCCAGTATAGTAGTCCTTAACTACGTGCCTCACCTGAGGACTTGAAATATGGCTAGTGGGACTGAGAAACTGGGTCTTTAATTTTATTAGGTTTTAATTGATTTTAATTCAAAGAATTATGTGTGGTAGAGGCTATCATATTGGATAATGCAGATCTATTATATCTATTGTAATTATAAAATTATGTAGGTAATTATCTCCCCCACCTGCAAACACGTTTTTCTCTGCCCCACCCCCTCTGTTTCAAGTCTACCCACAAGTGTGGATGGCTACCAGGCCCACTTCTTCTCAGAGGCCCCTATTCCTGAAGCTTCCGTAGGCCAAGGGAAGAGTTCTCTTACAGATCCTTAATGAAGTGACTTTGAAAGACTCTCCTCATCACAGAAATAAAAGGACTTGGTAGGTTATACTTTTCTTTCAGCCACCATCTTATTCTTAGGGACTTGAAGAGGTTTCTATATACCTGGGACACATGCACTAATGGTTTTCATATTTAGTTTGTTTCAGAGTTCATACAGCATGTTCTTCCTTTAAAAAATGACTATTTGGTAGGCGGGGTAACTATAAATAATTGTTAGAGACTCAGAAATGAAGTCTAACTCTAGGGCTCTTAGTAGACAAGAAAATGTCCCTTTCCTTTGTTCTCCTGATAATTAGTAAGAGTAACCAGATGATCTTTCTTCTCTTACTCTGAAACAATTAATTAATACAATTTATAGCACTTGGCAGATTATATTGTCTTTCTCAAGACTTACTGCCTTGGAGTCTTCAAAGATCATCATGGGCAACATGCCGCATTAACAGCTTCGATTAAGGTAACACGATCACGAGAGGATAGCCGAATCACTCTGAACATAAAATTCACCTTTATATTTATATTATGGTTGCTATTCATTATAAATGGAGTGCTGGTTGGATTACTAGGTAACTGAAAAGTGTCACATTTCCCATAAGATTTTTTTGTTCTGCACTGCTTTACAACAAGATATGAAGGGGGCAGCCCGGGTGGCTAAGCGGTTTAGTGCAGCCTTTGGCCCAGGGCCTGATCCTGGGGTCCTGGGATCGAGTCCCATGTCGGGCTCCCTGCATGGAGCCTGCTTCTCCCTCTGCCTGTGTCTCTGCCTCTCTCTGTTTCTCATTAATAAATAAATAAAATCTTAAAAAAAAAAAAAGAACAAGATGAAGGAGGAAGGCAGTGACTTGTGGAATTCAAAAAAACATATGACCAGAAAGTTCCCTTGGAAGTCATGCTTGAGGAGTTCCCATCAAAGTCACAGGCCCCTTGGGGACAGGTCTTCCCATGGAGGCCTTTCTATCAAAGGAGGGTCTTCTAGTCCCCGCCTCCCCCACCCCACCGCCGGGTGTGATGGCCTATCCCTCTTCTCTGCTGCACCCTGGATAGGCTCGCTCACTTTTTTGGCTCTTACTGATTGGAGGCCTGAGGCTTAGAGATTTCTGTCAGGCAAGAGACCCAGAGTGAGAAAAGTTCCCTTTGCTGAACCAAGAGGCCGGAGTGCGGTCCTGGCGCGGCCAGGCAGTGCACCCTGCAGGAGGGCAAGCTCGAAGGCAGCTATCCTCAGAGTGCCCCAAGCCCGGCAGTCCACAGTGCGATGATGACCCAACACTGAGAGGTGTGTCGTGGTCTCCGTTCTGTGTATCCGGATTCTTCCATTCGTCCCCCTCTTTCATAAATTCCACGGACAGATAAATCCTCAGGCAGTTGTTTCGGACATTAAAATTTGTGAACATCTCTTCCCATGGTGCTTCCTTCTGCTGTGTTTGTCCCATTTTAGCTAAACATATGCCTCCATCGTCTCTAATCTGCATCTTCACGGAGGTGCTTGGATGGATGTGGTGGGGTGGCTGGTGGTGGGGCGTATGTGTGAGTGGGTGAGGAGCGAGGCCCGGGGAGAAGCCAGCCAGCTAAAAGAAGGTAACGTTTGCAAATATAGAATCCCACCCCGAATTTCCTTCCCTCTCTGTTCTGTAGTAAACGGCAGCGAACCCATTCTGGCCCTGTGCTCCCACCGCCTTCGTAGATGGTAGGAATGAAGAGGCCTAAGCTGAGGACTCTTCAGTCTTTGGGGAGAGGATCTAAAAGAACAGTATAGTTTGGGGTCTGTCCTGCTCCTCTCCACGGGGTCTTCATGTGCCCACATCTCTTCCCTCCAGCGTCCGAACAGCAAGGGGTGGCTCTTTTCACAGGACCAAGTCCCTCTCCTTGGTAAATCTGGATAGAAAAAAAAAAAATAATGGGTAGTACTAGTGAGTCTCAAGTCTCTCTGGTATAGTTGGTTTAGTCATAGGACTTCTTAACCTTCATGTGTCCATTTTTATGTATTTTCATTTCTGGTTACGAAATTATACCAGCTTATTATGTCTTCTAAATTTTCCTTTTTGCTGTTGGGTCTAGATGTGTCTCGTTGATTAGAGTATCTTACCCTGAAAGCCCCTGGTCTGGCCGGTAGGACTCTAGCGCAAGGCTAACTGGTAGCAGACCTCGGGTCACTGGGTGTTTTAGCAGTTGCCTTCAAATGTACCAACAAGGTTGCAGGTTTGAAGAAATGCTTATGAGCGGTGGCTTTAGGGAAATCAGCCTCTGTTCTCAATATTGAATTCCAAATTACTGTGTTTTAATGCATCTGTCTCCTGCCTTTTTTATTTCAGTACCTACTAGAAATGAAAAGCTTAATCCTACCCCCAGAACATATCCTGAAGCGAGGGGACAGTGAAGCGATAGCATATGCGTTCTTTCATCTGGCACACTGGAAGAGGGTGGAAGGGGCTTTGAATCTTTTGCATTGTACGTGGGAAGGCAGTAAGTAATTTTCTTTCTTTGAAATGTTTTTTTTTTTTTTTAAGAGCGTGAAAAGATGCTAAAAGTGTTTCTATCCTGAGTGTTCATGATGAATAATGACGATTTGCATATGTATAGCTGCTCTTCTCTGCGATGTGCCATCACTGAGCCTTGATGGTTAATTACTGAGACTCTTCAGTTCCCCAGTGGTGGTGGGTGTTACTGAGATGATGCCATTCTGTGCCTCGAAAAAGAAAAAGCAAGTTTATACAATGGGCGGGATGATTCTGTGTTCCGGCAGAGGAGCACTCTATGACCGGAAAACCCTCTTTGCAGCCCTGGACAGCTCAGCATCGTGGCAGTCGTTGACGTGGGTTTTGGCCTTGTGCTGGGCTCTGACTACCACTCCTGGATGGCCTCTCCAGGTGGATTAGCTAAAGAACCACGGTTACCCTCCACCGGACCTAGGTCCTTGGCCAAACAAATGAGTAGCAGTTATGCTTCACAACAAGAGCCGTGGCCACAGGACCCTCGTGTTCAGTGGCAGGTGTATCATTCGTGTATTAGTGGATAATGTCTGTCCGATGCACGTGGAGACCCATCAGTCCTATCAGTCCCAGCGGGTCCCAGGGGAAGAGACTTTAATTGCGGGTGGGACCTGCTTCCTGTCCTGGGGAAGCATCTCATCTAGTTGGGAGGAGTAACCAGCAAACGGCAGCTGCTTGGTGATTTTTCAGAAGGGAGAGGTCAGTGGGGTGGAGCAGTCAGGGATAACCTTATGGGTCAAAGGAGGTTTGAACCAAGCCTTGAAGAACTAGGACAGCGTCAGGAGCAAGGACACGGTGCTGAGGGGTGGGGCTGTTTGGAAGAATGTAAATTGAGGGAAAAGGCCCAAGAGTACAGATTATTAGACAATATGTGCGTTGACACGCTGTTATTAGTTAAGCAAAACGAGTACAACATGCAGTGTGGGGTGTTTTTGCCCCCCTCATAGGGAAACAAAACAAGCGCTAGTCTTCTGATCATTTTTTCGTAGTTTACTCCTACTCTGATGGGCCTCACACAGGAATGTCTTTTTTAATCCCTTTTACTCTGTTTATCTTTGTTGCTTCCATTTGCATTTTGATAATCTCCTGCTCTTCCCTCTTCCTGCCCTTCCCAAACCCAGGAAAGGAATCCAAACTGATGCAGGAAGGGGGGGGAGGGGCGCGGTCAGGCCAATGGAATGGGGTAAAAGTAAGTTGATAGAGAAAGGGAGTCAAGCTGATTGAAAGTTGTTTTTGTTTGTTTGTTTAGTTTTGAAAACATTTTTTTAGAGAATCTCTAATGAGTTGACTTAGATAATTTACTATTTACAACTTGAGGGATGTCCACTCGGTTGATGCTTCCACCCCGACTCTGTTAGGTGTAATAAGCTACTCCAGGTGGCCTGGCCTGGGTGAGGGCACCGTGTGCTGGGGCATGTGTGGGCGTGTGTGCGCCCCGCTGCCTTGGGCTTATTGTTGCACCTAAGGAGTTCTACCCAAAAGAGACAAAGGGAATTTTTATTTAAACACGACAGAGAGCTCAAAAAAAGCTCAGCAAGATTGGACATGAGCGGCCTCACCCAGGGTTAGTTGTGGAAAAAAACTAAACGGATAGTTTGGCTTACCAAATAAAGCCTTACTTCTAGGCTAGCATTTTGGAAACCCAGCAGAAGCAGCTTACCAATTGGGACTGATTGATAAGAAAGGTACAGTTATATGGGAAGGATCGAAACAGGGAGCCCAGAAGTGACAGAGACATGGCGTTAGGAATGGCATAACCATAGCAAAAAAAAAAAAAAAAAAAATCCCAATGAGGAGTAACTAGAAATTTTGTTTGGGAATTAGTTACCCATATAATCAGGTAACAATGGGGAGATGCCCTGGATCGACCGGGAAGGACAATGGGATTCGGACAAACACGAAGTGACATAGCGAGCTCCAAAATCTAGAGGGTGGCGGTGTCGGGGGAATGTAATTAATTACCTCAGGTCCGATGGGTGGAACACTACTGGAATGAAGAGAGGAGGTGCATTTTTATTTTTTTATTATTTTTTTTGAGGTGCATTTTTAGACATAAACCAGGGTAGCAAGGCAGTCGGGGGCCTCCAGGAGGGGGAAATTCTGCGTTGGATCCTTACAGATAAATAGAAACCATTCCAGGGAAGTCACACTACCGTTCCGTTTTTGGAAAGAGAGAGCTATACCCTCAATTCTAGACAAGCACGGTGGGAGTGCTTGGTAGGAACCTACCGCCTTGGGGAGCACCACGCACCTCGGGGAGCGTGCGCGTAAGGGGGTGAGTTGCCCAGGGTTTGCACGGCCGTCCTTTCATGGACTCTTCCCGACGACGTTCTAAGTCAGACAGGAGGCCGGTGGCCGCCTCCCTTGAGGAGAGGAACAGCGTCCCTGAGGGTCTCGCAGCACCTGTGGGCAGAGCCAGGGGTAAACCCACGTTCACTTTCCATCCTGCCAGCTATTTGGACCTTTCCTGGAGGGAGCAAGCACCAGAGGAGCAGCACCTCTGAAACACTTGCCTGGAAGCCTTCAGTTAACCCTGCTGCTCGCGGCTCGGGTACACTCTCACTCCCCTTCTAGTGTTGAGAAAGTTCATCTTTCTATATAAAACTCTGTTTCTGTAGTTGAATACTGACTTACACATTTAACTATAGAATGAGCCCAATTTCATAAAAAAATCTGCATATAAACAAAGGAAAGAGAGAGGAAATAAAGACATCTTTAGGTGGATTTTAAGAGATTTTCGTTTTCCCCCTCATGTGTGTATTTTTCGAATTTTCTCAGCAAGCATAGGTTTTTTACTACAGGCACAGATACGTGTGCGAATGTACGTATATACGCACATTTGTAAAAGTGATGAGAGTAGTACAAAGTAGTTGTCCTTTTAAAAAAAACAAAGCTTACGAATCTCTCATGCAATTTAGAAGAAATACCCTTTGACCTCAAACCGTCACAGGCAATCTTTGGACGTCACTTCTAGATCTGTGTCCAGCTGAAGTCACACTGAGGCATCATCGGCATTTGGGTTTTCAATCAGAAGACTTAGATCGCGATTCTGATGTGGCTCCTTACACTGGTATTGACGTAACTTACCCAGGTTTTGGAAACCGTGACTCCCTGCTGCTGCTGAATGCCCCTGGCCCACCCCGGCTTGTTGGGCTTCCCGCGGGCAGTCGTGCCAGGCCAGCCTTGGAGGTGACAGGTGCCCTCTCCCTGCAGAGGTCCCCCAGACGGCCTGCGCCTGAGCACAGGAGGCTGCGCTTCCCCCAGCGCACCGCGTGGTGGCGCCTTTTGACATCGCCAGCCCCGTCCTTTAGGTTTTGTCCTTTATGTCCTTTTTTTGTTCATTCTGAAATTTAAGGCCATCCCCCAACTCCTTTCCAACATCCCCCTTTTCATTAGAAAGAAAATTCAGGGGAGGAATGTCACAGTACCTAATTTCACCAGTTCCCATGTTAAAAAATGAATATTCTTTTAGTTGACCTTTTGGAGATTAAAAAAAAAAATTCTTCTGTCAGAAGTGTTGGTTTAGGAGTGGGGATGGAGATATGTTTTTCTTTGCTTTTTAATGAGTTTATTATGTCGGAGCGTTAGTCATCTTGTGGAATTAAGCGAGTTTCCCACCAATCAGGCTGAAATAACTCACATTTTTGATAAAACCCCAAAGTCCAGCTGATGCATGGCAGAGATTGTTTGGGTTTGAAACATATGGTGGTTAAAAAAAAAAAAAACTGAGTCCTCAACCACAAATACATCAGCATTTCAAAGGTTTCTAAGATGTTTGATTCATCACTGTCCCGGCCCCTGAAATTACACAATATGTTCCTCAAAGTCAAGATAATCAAGAAAGGGGACAAGTTTTAATTTACAAGATTTAAAAATACATTTCTTAGTCCATCGTACAGCTGCCACCTTATCTGAATTATGCTTATTTTAAACAGTGTAGGTTCTGGTTATCCTCACGCACACAAACACACACATTGCTGCAAACATGAGTTGAATATACAAACCTTATATAAAGGAGGAATCTCATTTGAACTGAACTGGGCCTATTTACAGCAGTGTCGCGCCTTGTGAGGCTCTATTTTAAATGGCACATCTTCTGTTTTACCTATGTTAAATGCTGACGTGGCCCCATCTCCCTCCTGCCTCGATCTTTTCAAGGCTCACTTTGGCGGTATTTATTTTATAAAGCAGGAGAGTCTGCTGACCGCAACTGTGACCTTTAAGATTTAATTTTCTAGTTCTATATATCAGAAGACAAGTATGCCATGGGGTAAATCACTTAGCCTTTCTTTGTTTCCAGTTTTCTTTTTCCCCTTGACCAAGTAAGACTCTTTATTTTCTTTTTGGAGACCTTTCCCCCCCCCCAAAAAAAGAATTCACTAAATAATGTATAAGATTTGAAGGTGGTGTTTTTTAGGGGGACTAAAGCAGAGTATTTCCTTTGAGAAGAGAAAATGGCCCATTGTTGAGGCATAGGATGAAATTCTGATTCTAATTTATTCTCTTTGAACCTGATGGTAAATGCGACTTGCTGTAATGTAAGCTGTGGTCCTTGGGGCATTTCCTCTAACCAAACCTTTCTTCCAAAAGGCTGGCACCTTTTGGACTGCTAAAGAGTGATTCCCCCGCTCCTCACCCGATAGATCTAGTGCTAAATTTTGTGATTTGGGAGAAAGCACTGGTCGTAGCTAACTTCCAGTAATGGCCAGTCTCCAGGTACGGCACAGAGCCTCCCCACCGACGACCCGGTGGACCCAGCTTGTCCCTTTCACTTATTCCCCCTTGGTGACTGGCCGTGATTTGGATCCACCTGACTTTTTAAAAGGAAAACCCTGTCTCTTCCTGGTTGTTGTATTCATTCACGTATCCCTTCAGTCAGTGAGCACGTAGGGAGTCCCTCATTTGTGCCAAGCCTTGTGTTGGAGATGCTGGGGCGACTAGGACTCTGAAATGCTTGGAGAGAAACACTGATGTGTGTGCACACACACACATGCACCTCCATGCACACACACGCACCTTCATGCACACACACACGCATGCACCTCCATGCATACACACGCACCTCCATGCATACACACGCATGCACCTCCATGCACACACATGCACGCACCTCCATGCACACACATGCACGCACCTCCATGCACACACACGCGCCTCCCTGCACACACACACATGCACTTCCATGCACACACATGCATGCACCTCCATGCACACACACGCACCTCCATGCACACACATGCACGCACCTCCATGCACGCACCCTGCATGGAGTCTGCTTCTCCCTCTGCCTGTGTACTCACGGGCACATAAACACACATGTCTACGTAACCCGTAGTGTGCATACAGGCAGTACCATCACGGAGGTAGGACCAGAGTGTTAGAGTGTGGAGGGTTACCAACAGGTTAGTGAACCTGTATAAAACCCTGGAATTTCTCTCTGGAATTGGAATGGCGCATCATTGAACCAAGGGAAAGTGATTTTCCCAGACGACAGAACCAGGTAGTGGAAAGAATGCGGATCAGTCCCCAGGCTCTTGGCTTTAGAACTTTCTATCTCTGTGCCTAAATGCCTCATGAAGGACGAATGGCCTGTATGGACAGTTACCTACTTTACGCTCAAAGAATAAAATGTAAAATTTTGGAAAAAAAAAAAAGAAAATGTAAAATTTGTATTTCGATGATGATTTTCTGTTCTGTTGTTTGTACTTCCAGTTGTTCATAAGCAAAGCAGCATTTTTTACTTACAAGCAAGAGTATGACCTGATCGGGAAAGTAGGAACTTTGGGTTTGGTAGAAAGGGTATATAAAGGGAAGACTGACTTTGAGCCACACACAGCCCTGTCTCAGGTCTGTCGCATTCTCATTCTCACAGCCAAAGAGACTGGACGCAGACTATGACCCAGCCAGTCGTATCGTTTTCAGCTGGGTCAAGTTCAGCCCGTTCTTAGCTGTCACCCCACCGCTCCTCCTTTCCATACGAACCGCACGGAGGCGCTGCCGCAGGGAGACCTTTCACGCGGGTCTTCATGATTGTTGGGTCATGTGGTTCCTGCCCGAGGCACTGAGCTCCGTCACCACGGACGGTGCGTGGCCCCCTTTTCTACCCCCGCTGCGTGAGGAGCGCACCTGCGTTTTGACCAGGTGGGGCTGGCACTCAGGCTCCCTCGCTGCTGTCCTAAGGGATCCGTCTCTCCCGGCCTCTGAGATCCTCTTTGAAGAGGCAACATGGACACATTGTCAGATATCCTCTCCCTGGCTGTGTAGTGGGTCGGACGAGAGGCCGTTAGAAATCATCGGGGACGGCCCAGGGCGTGATCCTGGAGACCCGGGATCGAGTCCCACGTCGGGCTCCCTGCATGGAGCCTGCTTCTCCCTCTGCCTGTGTCTCTGCCTCTCTCTGTCTCTGTGTCTCTCATGAATGAATAAATAAAAATAAAAACCTTTAAAAAAAATAAATAAAACCAAAAAAGAAATCATCAGGGAAACTGGGGACTTGTTTGTTCCCGTACCCACCCTTCTGTCCCCTCTCGGATGCTCGTGACCTTTCCTCCAGGGTTAGCCTAGGGTCACTGGTGACGCAGCACTGACAGGTGTGGGGCCTAGAGCACACGTCTGGTTGGGCAGTGACACCCCGACTTCAGTAGCGGGCAGCCAGTTTGCTGTGCCCCTTCCGCAGCGGCCCAGCAGAAGGCAGGGGAGGCCAACGCAGACGTGCCGTTCGGGCGCCGTGCGTTCACTCGGAGCGGCCCAGCTCTTTGGGTTTTTTTTAACCAAATACACATACATTTTCAGTTCCCCCTGAACCGTATGTTTTTCCAGACCAAGGTCTTTAAGAAGAGCTCTGTGGTCCTTCACGGAATAGATAAAATCGATGAAACAGAGCGCCCTTTTTCCCACTCTTATTTGCACCGTCAAATCAGTGTGTCGCTACTTGCACTTGCACAATTCCTGGACGTGCGGCTAAAGCCATGAGGTTCTTGTGGGGCAGTTTGATGGCTTTTCAGCGAGAGGGCTCAGGAGGCGGGAGGTGGAGCTGGCAGGATTTCTGCAGTGCCTCTTCCTGCTCTCGCCAGACCTCCGCTGCTTATCTCACAGTCCGCTGGACCCTGCACAGCAGGGTGGGTAAAGGATAGAATTGCAAACAGAAATCGTATTTGCTTTTGTTTGGCGATGCCAAAAAGCTTAATCTGATTTTACGAACTCGATGTAAATGACAACTGACATGAGAAAGAGATTTTTAAGAGCACCCTGAGCATCTCTGCAGTCCTGGAGGTTGCCATGGGGGCCGGGGGAGGACAGTGCGGGAAGACTGTGTGTGTGTGTGTGTGTGTGTGTGTGTGTGTGTGTGTGTGTGTGTTTAAAGTCAAATCACTGTCTCCACCCTCTCCAGAAAGACCAGAACTGATTAGAAGAAAAAGACTAACTCAATGCATGGAATTCTGTATGCGTGCCAAATACTGCAGCAAGAAAGATTTGGCATCTGAGTGAAAAGACACCAACCAACCATTTGATTTCTATGGTTGAACATACCCAAGCTCTTGCGCTCCTACATTTCATTTAAAAAAATTGCTCCCTGAAGTACAAACTGACTTCAATTTTGAATAAAATTGAGCATTCAAATTTATAGCCACTTTGAAAACTGGGGGTTTACTTCTATCACGTGAACCTGAACGGATTCTCAATTACAGCAGCCCTGTTGCACGTAGAGAGCCTGGGTTTAAAACAAAAACAACAAACCCTCCAGGTGGGTTTTCCCACATTTTGGGGGATGCTTTCATAGCAGCCTTTGTTTATGGGAAACGGTATTTAAAACCGTCCCGTATTGGGGGATCCCTGGGGTGGCGCAGCGGTTTGGCGCCTGCCCTTGGCCCAGGGCACGATCCTGGGGTCCCGGGATCGAGTCCCACGTCGGGCTCCCGGCATGGAGCCTGCTTCTCCCTCTGCCTGTGTCTCTCTCTCTCTGTCTATCATGAATAAATAAATCTTTAAAATAAACAAATAAAAATAAATAAATAAAGCGGTGGCATATCGCAGTTTAAATTTAAGGACGCTACTTCCCAGAAGAGATGTTCGGTGTCTTCCATAAAGGCGCTCAAAGGGTCTTGTTGTTGTTGTGGTTCTGTAATATTTTCTCCCCCTTGTCTTGCAAAAACCTCTTGAGAGACACTGGTTCCTTGGCGTGATCTCTGTGCGTTAGCGGCCTGTGCGGAGAACGCTCCCACGGCCGGTCGCGGGCAAAAGTCATCTTTGTTTGCACGAAAGGAAAGTCTGATTGAACTCAGGGGTGAGCCTTTCATTTTAAGAAGAGTTAAAGTCTGGGGTGTTTTTAATGTTTTAATCTCTGTTTAAGAGGTTTCTGTTACAAGAGGAAAATTGATAACATTTTTACCTCAGCCAACTGCCAGCAAACTGGCTCTGCTCTAACCCCACGTTTGTGGTGATTTATATTCTCCGTGGCCACGCGCTGTAACCTCGGAGCGATACCACCGTGGTGCGGATTGACCGCATTCCAAATGCTGGACTCACATACATAATGTTTTTACTTTTAAATAATATTCAGACACCAGAATAAATACCATATGTGCACGGATGCCGGTTACAATGGAACCTTGTCATTTCTTGGGAGGGAGAACATTCTTTGTCTCCGATTCCCGTTTGAAACGAGTACGCAGAAGATAAATAGCGCACACCGATGGCATTTCGAGAAGGCGTAGGTAACCAGGCCGCCGAGATGTAGCAAGGATTCCTTGAGCGATGGCATTTAAGGCCAGCAAGATTGCTGTGGTGGGGCCCCCCCGGCCCCCGTCTTTGACACACACGAGGGCAAGGATTGTTATCTGGCATCGCCCACGTAGGGCGTAGTTCTTGTATTTTATACGTGCAGCGTGCTGTAGCTGCGGGACGTCTGCTGGAGAAGCATCACCCCGTGAGCCCTGCGTTCCTAGCAACGGTGAGACTCACATGCCGATGACATCGTAACAGGGAGGGTAACACCCGTGATAACGGAAAAGGGACGGATTGATTGGAAAGCCATAATTCAGCCAGAGACCTAATGTTATCTGAAGCCGCAAAAGCAGAACTTAGGTGGCCTGACATCATCAAAACACAGATAATCCATCTCTCCCCATCCACCCCCCCCCCCATGATATTGAAGGTTGAAAAGTTTCCAACCGAGATGAGAAATAGCTCCTAAGTCATGCGGGATTTTAGATTTTTGTTTTTGTGCATCTTGGTTGGAATTCTCATCCACCTGGACCTGTTTTGGTCTTTTGTTTGTTTTTTTTTTTTAAATAGACGTAGTAGAATGCCTTTCGTATTTGTACATCTGTAATGAGCTTCCACAAGTCCCTCCACCTGCGCTTCTTGGGGAAGCGTTTCAATCCACGTTTGTGTTATTAGCATCAGTTGAGCTAGATTGAGTCAGTGCTCTTGACATTTTAATGATACTTTATAGATGAGGAAATCCCGGGCACCGAAGCGATGGCTTCCCTGCTCCTCTGCACCCCAACCCACCCAGTGCTGTGAGGTTTGCCCAGAACATACAGCGTGAGATTAAGTGTGAGTCACACATCATACTGCACCTCTGACAGCTCCTCCGGCGTGGAGCTCGGGCTTTGGGTGACTCCTGCATCCTTCCTGGGAGTTCCTTGTAGAACTGTTTATCATTATAAAAATGCTCAAAATAAAAAATAAAAAATAAATAAAAATGCTCAAAAACCTCTCTTTGAAACTGAGAAGTTGGGAGACAAATATCGAACCTCTAACATACTGTCTCTTGTTTTCAGCTTTTCGGATGATCCCTTATCCCTTGGAAAAGGGGCATCTGTTTTACCCTTACCCCATCTGTACAGAAACAGCAGATCGAGAGCTGCTTCCGTGTAAGTGCTCCTTCCGTCCTCCCCTCTGGGGCCAGTGAGGGTGGGGCGCCGCAGCGGGGGGGTGTGGTGGGGGGATAAATGCCCGTAGCCTTCCTTGACTTTCATGACTCTTCTCCCAACCCCTGTCCCCATGTGATGGCACATGCGCTAAAGTGAGTTATGGGAGCGGGTCTGGCATCCTGCCCTCAAGGCGTCCAGGTTCATCAAAGGGAAAGACCTCCGGGCCCTGCAGTGTAGATGAGGCGTCATGTGCGGGCTGGCCTGAGCATAGACACCCCAGGCTCAGGGTGGATGTGGGGGGCTGGCCTGAGCACAGACAGCCAGGGTTCGGGGTGGATGTGGGGGGCTGGCCTGAGCACAGAGAGCCCGGGTTCGGGGTGGATGTGGGGGGCTGGCCTGAGCACAGAGAGCCCGGGTTCGGGGTGGATGTGGGGGGCTGGCCTGAGCACAGAGAGCCCAGGCTCAGGGTGGATGTGGGGGGCTGGCCTGAGCACAGACACCCCAGGTTCAGGGTGGGTGTGGGGGGCTGGACTGAGCACAGAGAGCCCGGGTTCAGGGTGGGTGTGGGGGGCTGGACTGAGCACAGAGAGCCCAGGCTCAGGGTGGATGTGGGGGGCTGGACTGAGCACAGAGAGCCCGGGTTCGGGGTGGATGTGGGGGGCTGGCCTGAGCACAGAGAGCCCAGGCTCAGGGTGGATGTGGGGGGCTGGCCTGAGCACAGACACCCCAGGTTCAGGGTGGGTGTGGGGGGCTGGACTGAGCACAGAGAGCCCGGGTTCAGGGTGGGTGTGGGGGGCTGGACTGAGCACAGAGAGCCCGGGTTCAGGGTGGGTGTGGGGGGCTGGACTGAGCACAGAGAGCCCGGGTTCAGGGTGGGTGTGGGGGGCTGGACTGAGCACAGAGAGCCCAGGCTCAGGGTGGGTGTGGGGGGCTGGCCTGAGCATAGACACCCCAGGCTCAGGGTGGATGTGGGGGGCTGGCCTGAGCACAGAGAGCCGAGGCTCAGGGTGGATGTGGGGGGCTGGCCTGAGCATAGACACCCCAGGCTCAGGGTGGATGTGGGGGGCTGGCCTGAGCACAGACACCCCAGGTTCAGGGTGGGTGTGGGGGACTGGCCTGAGCACAGACACCCCAAGTTCAGGGTGGATGTGGGGGGCTGGCCTGAGCACAGAGAGCCCGGGTTTGGGGTGGATGTGGGGGGCTGGCCTGAGCACAGACACCCCAGGTTCAGGGTGGGTGTGGGGGGCTGGCCTGAGCACAGACACCCCAAGTTCAGGGTGGATGTGGGGGGCTGGCCTGAGCACAGAGAGCCCAGGTTCAGGGTGGATGTGGGGGCCTGGCCTGAGCACAGACAGCCAGGGTTCGGGGTGGATGTGGGGGGCTGGCCTGAGCACAGAGAGCCCAGGTTCGGGGTGGATGTGGGGCCTGGCCTGAGCACAGAGAGCCCAGGTTCAGGGTGGGTGTCAGGGGGCAGGTGCAGTGTGGTGCCGAGCTGCCTGGCTGCTCCGATGCAGCCTCCCCGACTGGAGCTTGTAGAGGGAGCCCCACCTTCAGAGGCCGCCGTGCGAGTCGGGGTTGGGGGCAGCACCAGCCGCCGTCGGCATCGCCCAAGGACGGTCACCGGGGGGGGTGTGTGCAGCCGTGTCCCCTGTGCTGATGCAGGCCCTGGGCCGGCAGGGGTCCCGGGAGCACCTGGTGAGGGCCCGCGGAGAGTCGGGGTGTGTGTGAGGCAGCAGGAGGGAGCCCCGGCCCTGAACCCCAGTGATGGGGTTTTGGGGTCCCCCCGCCGTCCTGCCGAGCCCGTGGGAGAGGCGTTACCACACGCTCCCACGGTGGCGGCCAGGCTCTCCGGCCCGACTCCCGCTGCCTCCCTCAGTGGAAGCCCCACAGGTTGGCGGTGCCACCTCCCTGCCCCCCCCACCCCTGCAGGAGAGCTCCGTATGGTGCCCCCCCCCCCCCCCAGGGAAGGCCGGCTCTGGAAAGTGCGGTTTTAAAACGCTTGAGTCTGGTTCGTGTCTGCGGGAACAGCTTCGCTGGTAGGACAGGGTTGGGCGGGTTGTCCCCATCCCCTGCTGTCGCCCCCCCCAGGTGTGCACAGGGCCCGTCCCCGTCTCCTGCCATCGCCCCCCAGGGGTGCACAGGGCCCGTCCCTGTCCCCTGCCATCGCCCCCCCAGGGGTGCACACGGGCCCGTCCCCGTCTCCTGCCGTTGCCCCCCAGGGGTGCAGGCGGGCCTTGCCCCCCCCACCCGGGCTGTAAGTCGTGGGAGCTGAGCCCTGGAGGAGGGGCCTTCGGGGGGTGGGTGTCCTGAAGAAAGCGGGCACTTGGGGCCTTTCGGCTGGAGCGGTGGGCCTGCCGGGGGCAGCGAGTCCCCAGCGCCCGGGCCCTCGCCCTTGCCCCCCTGCCCCCCTGCCAGCACCCAGCGTGCAGGCCGCCCTGGGCCCGGAGCAGGGAGTCCAGCTGCTGCCGCTGCTGCCACCTGCTTTCCGGGTCCCCCCAAACCCAACCGTTGAAACTGTAAAGTCGTGAAAGGAGCTCGGAGCCCCACGTGTGTCTGTGGGGTGCTCGCCGGAGCTTGGCGGGGAGTCCGCCGGGGCTGTGCGGGCGGAGCAGCCGGTGCGCCAGGTCCCCAAGTCCCCAGGGCACCGCTCACGACGCACCGACACAGCCTCCTGACACCGCTATGAAGTTACTGGAAGCGCCAAGTCGAGGGAAAACGGTTTTGACCCCCAGTATATTTATTTCTGGATTTTCCTGGTTTTGTCCAAGGAACACGTATTTCGTAACGTGAGAGCGGTGCTGCTGGGCCCTGGGCAAGGACCGTGTCGCCGGCCCGCGGGTGCGGCGTCCTCGGTCAGCCTGCGGCCCGTGCACCGGGCTGGGTGCTGGGTGCTGGCTGCTGGCTGCTGGCTGGCCCCGGGCTGCACCTGCCTGCACCCTCGGCTCCAAGAGACCTCCCCCCCCCCAACCCCCGTGCTTCCCCGGCACTCACGCGGCCCTCTCCGTCTTCCCCGCAGCTTTCCACGAAGTCTCAGTTTACCCGAAGAAGGAGCTCCCCTTCTTCATCCTCTTTACTGCCGGGTTGTGCTCCTTCACAGCCATGCTGGCCCTCCTGACGCACCAGTTCCCGGAGCTCATGGGGGTCTTCGCAAAAGCCGTGAGTACCCGCCGCGGGGGGTGGGGGGGAGGGGGAGGCCCGAGAGACAAGGTGACCGGGGAGGCTGGCAGGGGGGAGAGGCCCGAGGGACGAGGCCAGTGGGGAGGGAGGGAAGGGGGGAGGCTGAGGCGGGGAGGCCCGAGGGATGAGGCAGCGAGGAGGGAGGGAGGCCCAAGGGATGAGGCCAGTGGGGGTGGGAGGCCCAAGGGATGAGGCGGTGGGGTGGGGGGGCGGTGGGGGCCTAGGGGAACAGTGTCCGGGGACCGAGTGTCGTGTGGGAAAGGACGTGCTGTGCTGATGCTCTGCTCGCTGCCTGGTTTGCGCCTTGTGAGCGGAGCCCCCCGGCTGGGGGCAGGGCCGGGCAGGGCAGGGCAGGGCCGGGGAGGGCGCCCGGGGCCTCTTAGCGCCCGGCCGCGTTTCCCGAGACCGCTCCCACGTTTCAAAACCGCGCGTAGCGGGGAAGGGTTAGCCCAAGAAGGGCGGCCCAGCCACCGAGAACCTAAGGGAGCGTGTTCAGCGTCGCCCTACCTGAATGGCACCGTCTCTGACCTCGACGTGTGGTGGCTCTTCCTCCAGTGACCGTGAGACTCACATTTCCAAAGATGATCGAAGTAAACACCGTCTTATGGGCCTAAACTTTCGGCCTCCTCGGGGCACGAACCGAGGGGACGCGCGGGCTCGTGGTTGAGGGGCACTGGCAGGGCGCGTAGGGAAGGGCTTCGGGTAAGGGCCCGCAGGAGGGCTGGGAGAGGAGCCTTGAGGAGGAGGGACGGCTACGCCGTCTAGGAGCCTTAGGCTGCGCGGGCGGAGGATGCGTGGCCTGATTGCACCGCGGCCGAGCTCCCAGCGGCAGGCGTCGGGCACGCAGCATCGGGTGCCCGTCCCTGGTCCTCCCTTCTGATCTGCAGGCGAGCGGAGTCCGGGGGGACCGCTTCTAACGGGGCTGGCCCCATTTAATCCCTTTCCAGATGATTGACATGTTCTGCTCGGCAGAGCTCAGGGACTGGAATTGCCAGAGCATTTTCATGCACCTTGAAGATGACCTGGAATTGCCACCGGCACCTCGATCTCCGCATTTCCAAAACTGAACGTGCTCCTGCCCCTCCCCGCCCCGCCCGGTTACTGGAGCCAGAGACACAGCAGCCCTCGAGCCCCTGTCCCCGCCCCCATCCTGCCTGCCTCGGCCTCCATAGTGGCGGCCTCCGAGCTTCAGGCCCTCAGTGGCTGATTCACCTCCTTCCCCTCCCCGTCCCCACGGCCTCCCCCTAGTGTAGGTCTTGGTGGTTTCTTGCTTGGACTCCTCCGCAGGAGTCTTCACTGGTCTCCCTGCCTCCGGTTTCTGCCCCTGCAGTCTTCCTTCCGCACTGACACAAGAACGGGCTTTCCAGACTGCAAGTCTGAGCCTGCCACTTCCCTGCCTGAGTTTCTCCCGAGGTTTCCCGCTGACTCGGGGATAAAGCCTCAGCTCTGTAGCCACGAGGCCCCTTCTGATCTGGTCTTTGCTTGCCTCTTGAGCCTCATCTCTCCCAGCGCTTGCACAGACACCGCTCTTGGGCCACAGTGAATTACTCACCACTCCCAGATGCCCAGACTCTTGGGCACCCCGGTGCCTTTGCACGTGCCGTTTGCTCTGCTTGGAATGCCCTTCCCCGTCACCACCCCGGCTCGTCTGCTCGACTAACTCCTCTTCGTTCTTTCTCACTCAGCTTTCTTTCCGGGTTTCTCCTAAGCTGAGTTCGAGGTCTCTCCTCTGAGATCCCACAGTATTCCATGAATACCTATATCATCACATTTCCTGTACTATATTATAACTATCGGAAACGTGTCTGTCCCCCTTTTAGAATGTGAGCTCCTTGAGAGCAGGACCGTGTCTTCCTCGTCTCTGTATCCCCAAAGCTTTGCACAGTGCCTTGCACTTAGTAGGTTTTCAATAAATGATTGTCAAATAAATACACGGTAGTGGTTTCTGCAGAAAGAGGCAATGTGAAGAATCAGATACAGTTTAGCATTTATCCTCTTGCTTTTTTTTTTTAAGATTTTACTCATTTATTCACGAGAGACACACAGAGAGAGAGAGAGAGAGAGAGAGAGAGAGAGAGAGAGAGAGAGGCAGAGACACAGGCAGAGGGAGAAGCAGGCTCCATGCAGGGAGCCTGACGTGGGACTGGATCCCGGGTCTCCAGGATCACACCCTGGGCTGAAGGCGGCGCCAACCTGCTGGGCCATCAGGGCTGCCCTCTCCTCTTGTTTTTGCAGTTATAATCTTGGAGCTAGAGTTCAGAGGGACCTTAACCAAACTGCCTTCGGCAGTAATGTCACGCAGGTCACGTAGACTCTTCTTGATTGCTCTGAGTGATGGGGACTCCCCTACTTACCACCAAAGCCCGTTTCGTGGTTGGATCGCTCGGAAGGCGTCTTTCTGCAATCAGATCTGCCTCCCTCCGATGTGCACCTGTTGTTCCTGTTCTGCCCTCCAGCACGTTCTCAGAGGGCTTCCTCCGTCTTGCACGTTCTTAGTCAGCTAAGACCTTCATGGCCCCCCCTAAGCCCTACCGACTCTTGGTAGAACATCTCAAATTTCCTGAAGTCTCCCGTTCGGCCCGTGATCCCGGCCCCCAGGAGCCCCCTGGTTGGATGCCCCCCCAGTCTGTGGGCCTCTGCTACTCATCGTCATCCCCCCAAGCCAACCTCTGAGTAAGAATCGTCGCCAAAATTCTGACTAGAGTTCAACTTAGTAAAATGTGAAACGAATATACTTACATCGCTAGGCCCTTATTCTTCCTCCTTTAAATGTTCTTCTCTTAAAGTTTTCAAGTCTTCTCTGTCAGAGTGCGTCACTGTCCCGGTGTTCCTCGTCTAACAAGCAAAGAGCACTTGGCAGGAATTTCGGGTCAGGATGGACCCGAGGGGACATGGATCCGTTTGGCTCCACCCCCAGAAAGTCAGAACCTTGGGTGTTGGCCACCCCGCAATCCGTGTTTTCAACAAGGATTCTAGCAGGTTCTGAGGACGGACGGGGGTTGAGGGCTACGTTTGCTTCTAAGAACACGGGCCTGGGGCCAGCTGAAATTTTTAACAGCCACTTGCCCGTCCGGGGTGAGCTGTTGAGGCGAAAGCTTTCTAGGCAACAGGGGTTTTGCCCTGGCTGCACCTGGAAGCATTGGGGAGGCTGGCGAGTGCCTGGGGGCTGCCGCCTCCCACTGGGGGTGCTGACCTCGGGGGCACGTGGGGTTTCAGAGCCTCCCAGGAGATCCAGGTGTGCAGCCGGGCAAGACCACCAGGCCGAGCGGGGTGACGAGCCGCCTGAAAGGGCTCCAAGGTGGAGGGACTTGGGGGGTGGTAAGTGGAGGTCGCCTGGGTCTTCTCTCGAAAAGACTCCAGAATTTCAGGGCGATGTGTTCATTAGGGATCCTTTCATGTTTCCAAGGCCTCGGTTTTGAGTCCAGATCAGATGATCGGATGAAACGTCACTTTGCCTTACGGCCCCCGTGGCTGGGACCCTGCAGGCTGTCGGGGTCGGTCGGCCGCTCGCGGTCTCCAGATGCGGTGCCGTCGGTGTGCCCTTAAAGCTCTGTCTGGAAGGACACGCTCGTCTTGCCCTTCCCGAAGGTTTCACAGCTTCCAGAATGCCTGGAGAGCCTTCGTGGGGAAGGAAGGTGGATGGTCTGCGGGGGCCAGGCCCTCCCCACCCCACCCCACCGCACCCTCCCCCAGGCGGCCGGTCACTGCGGCCGCCCCCCAGGCCGCCCCGCGGCCACTTGCAGCTGTGAAAGGACTCCGGCCTCGCCTGGGATCCCGCCCTGGGATGATGACGTTAGGAGGTGCAGGGAGATGGCACTGCCCCTCCAGGCTGCTCGGAGCTCGGGAGCTGGCCCGTGTGTTCATATGCGGAGACGCACGCAGCAAGGCGCGAGCCCCTGGATGGCAGTCAGATGAGCGGCTTCAGCTGCCCCCCCCCCCGAATCTAGTCTACCTCGAGGACTTAAGGCCGAGGCGTCCTAGAATGAGATAAGGTCACTCCTAGAAAGAAGTCATCGTCCCCGGCCCAGCCCCTCTCAGAACGTGGGAAGGTCAGCATCTGACCCCGCGGGCTCTGAAGGGCTCTGGCTTTCCTCCTCGCACCCCCTCCTTCGCCCCCGGCCCCCGACTCCCGGCCTCACTTACGGGCCCTGACCCCTTTGAAGTCTGACATTGATTACAGAGAAATGTCAATTGTCTGGTCGCAGCAGGGCACCTGGCACTTCTGGAGATAAGCGGCGGCACTCGGGGCGCCAGCGGAGCGCGGGGAGCCGTGAGCTGCCTCTACCCGATGGGGTTTCAGGAAAAGGAGGAGCAGGCGATTGAAGCGTCACGCTCACGCTCCTGTGGTTAGTCCAGTTGCCGTTTGTCACCGTAAGACGCTGATGGAGTCGTGTGCGTTTCGGACCACGTATCTCTGGCCTCCGGATGGCAGTTTTGGACATTGAGCCGGATGGGCCGTTCCGGGGCTGCCTGCTGTTGCTCATCCAGACTTAACTTCTCAGGCCATGGTGTCCCAAGTGCGTAGGTGGAACCGCTGTTCCTCTGTGCCTCGGCGGAGTCGCCGGCCAGAACCCGTGCTCACTGATGTCCCTACGTGCGAAGACGTCTAGGCGGACGTCCCGAGCAGGGCCTGTCCCGCAGACGCCCCCTCTGTGGCTCCCGATGGAAGCCTCTAGCCTCCATGTGGTCCCCAAGTGGCGGGCTCAGCAGCCCCCGACACCCCGACACCCCATCCCCGCACTGCCTGCCTCCCCGTGGGGAGGGATGAGGATGAGGAGGAAGGCAGCCTCCAGAGAATTAGCATCTTTAGGAAAGGGCCCTGGGGATCCTTTCCCTGCTCTCTGGAGGAGCACCCCGGACGGGAGGGGGAGCCGTGAACCGAGAGCGTGGGGGTGTTGGGGCCCCCTCGTCGTGCGGGCCTCACGGAGGAGGCGGGGGGCGCTGTGTGGCGCAGGGTGGGAAGGGGGCCAGTGGCCGACATGGGCCCCACACGTCCCTCTTGAATTCCGGAGGCCTCACTGTGCCTTGTGATGCAAGTCGGCTGAGGCCCCAGACCAAGGCAGCAGGCCCTGTGGGCCGCCCGGGCTGAGGCTGCCTGACGCCCCAACGGCCCGGGCCCAGCCCGTGAGCAGCGCTTGCGCCCGCCGCCCGCCAGCTGCCGCGGCTCTGACTCTGCCCCGGCTCAGGTCTCCAGGGCATGGTGACCTCAGCCCAGCACCACCGCGCTGCGGGGCCCCCGGCATCCCGTGGGGTGGCCGGCTGACCGGTACCTGGGCGCCCAGCCCCTCCTAGAGCTAGTACACGGTGGCCACGTGCCTGGTGGCCTCCGGTTACAAACAACGTCTCGGAACTAGGGTTTTACGGACGCTGTCCTAGCAGCCTGGGCAGGGACTCTTGGTCCCTGGGCCGCACGGTGAGCCTCCCCGGGGTTCTGTGCCCACAGCGAGGGACGGTTCCAGAAGGCGACCAAAGGGCCGTCCGCGTTTGCTCGGTGCTAGCGCGATGCCCGTTTAGCTGCAGAGGCAGCGCGGCTTGGGCCCCCCACCCCCGCGTGCTCTGGAGGCCCGGCCCAGCCGGTCTCAGCCGGGCCCCAGCCGGGTCTCAGCCGGGCCCCAGCCGGGTCTCAGCCGGGCCTCAGCCGGCCCCAGCTGGGTCTCAGCCAGGCCTCAGCCGGCCCCAGCCGGGTCTCAGCCGGGTCTCAGCCGGGCCTCAGCCGGGCCCCAGCCGGGCCCCAGCCATCGCTCCAGGCGGAGGGAGCTGCGCACGGCCTCGTGGTCAGACCGGTGACTGCGCACCGAGCCCGGGGCCTCGCCCGCTCGGGTCTCTCTCCGGACCGTCCTTTCCCTCCTGTGCGGTGTGACGTCCCAGCCGTCCGCTGCGGCCGCTGCGCTTGCCTGCCTAAGCCTTTCCCGCTCCTTCCAGCCGAATGGATCCTCTCCCTTCTGTGAACCCTCCCGGTGCTCTTTGGGCTTCTGTCTTCCACCCTGCGGCCGTCTGTCTGTGTGGTAGTAGGACCTCATGGGGGGGGTGGCCTTGGTGGCTGCCTGTCCCTTCCCTTGGCCCTGGCTTTGGCCTCCTGGCACCGGGAGTTTTACCCTGGTCTCCTTTATGGAGAGCTCATCCAGCACTCGGCCGCCTTATAGACTAAATATATTTAATTGATGTAAAAGACACACCTTGGGGAAGGATCCCCGAATCTTGAGTTTCCTTGGCCCTAACGGTCAAGCTGCACTTACCGGTCCAGCTGTAACGTGTCACACACCTTCCCGGTTAGGTTCTACTGGTTCTTAAAAACAGCAAAGAAGGCAAGATTCTGAGGTCGGGTGAATTTCGGAGACTCTGCCTCCCATCGCCTTGAAGATCTCGAATCCGTAGAACATAGGGGCGGTGCAGGGGCCTGTTTTAACTTCAATAAAGACCCTCCTACCTCGACCCCAGAACCATGCCCCGCTCTGCATGCGTGTTTCTGTGCCACACTGTACGTCTGTGGGAAATCCTTGGCGGTGGAGACAGCGTTTTGCCGGGAACAAGGGACTAGGACAGACGACTCCGCAGGGTAGGACCCAGGTATCGAGCCCTGGTGGGATAATAAGGTTCTTTTTTTTTTTAATTTTATTTATTTATTTATTTATTTATTTATTTATTTATTTATTTATTTATGATAGTCACAGAGAGAGAGAGAGAGAGGCAGAGACACAGGCAGAGGGAGAAGCAGGCTCCATGCACCGGGAGCCCGATGTGGGATTCGATCCTGGGTCTCCAGGATTGCGCCCTGGGCCAAAGGCAGGCGCCAAACCGCTGCGCCACCCAGGGATCCCGGATAATAAGGTTCTGAACACAGGGATCGAGGAGAGCACCCGAGCGCCCCCCTCCCCCCGTCGTGCGGAGCTCTGCTGGGGGCCTCTTCTCGCAGAGGCTGGCCGGCCTGTGGGATGAAGCTGAGCCTTCACAGAACATGATCAGAACAAATTTGGGGTTAGGGGAAGTGAGCCTCAGGCGGACACTTGGCTTCCCTGAACAGGCCCGGTTAGCGAGCATTATTCTC